AAAGGCATGCTTTGTACTATGCTCTGCATCTTTTGGCTGCAAGGACAGTTTAGGCTGTGAATTCAATGTCCCAGAATTCTCCACCAAAACACTATGACCTCTTGCTGCCTCAGAGCCCCTACTTCTCAAAGGTTTTCTCAGATTTCAAATATGTGGCTGTCCTTCGTGTTTCAGAAACCCTTTGTCTTCACTGTATAAGTCCTTCTAATGTGACAGAAAATTAGACATCAAGAAGCTGATAAGTTTGAACATATGGAAAACACATTTATTACAATTGGGTCCAGATAAGCCTTAGTTATCTAAGTAGAGCTTACATTTTTTTTTTTTTTTTTTTTAATGTGCTTTGGGGCAAGAGGTAGGTAGTTGTGCTCATATAACAGCACCACGAGGTATCCTTGTGATGATGGAACTGTTCTATGTCTTGACCATGGTGGTGGATACACAAACCTACATGTGATAAAACTGTATGGAATGAAATACACACGCACAAATGAATGCATGTAAAAGTGGGGAAATCTGATTAATACTGGGAAATTGTACCAATGCTGATATGCTGATTCTGATAGTGGACTATAGTTTTGAAAGATGTTGCCTTTGAGGGGACTGGGTAAAGGGTACAGGGGACCTCTCTGTACTATTTCTTACAACTGCATGTGAATCTACAATTATCTTGAAATAAAAAGTCTAGTTAGGAATGTGTTTTGTGTTCTAGGTTCAGAGTATTTAGAAAGATAAAGTTAATTAATATATACAACATATAAGCAAACACACATTCCCAAACAAGTAGTTAAGGTTCCGCCCACCACGTACATTTTCAGTACTAATTGGAGTGAGATAATTTTGTTTAGGTACTGGACTGAGTCTGAATTTGGTGTTATAAGCATAGCCATCCTCTTGAGATCTCATACAAACAAGACAGTCATGACCATGTTATAATTTTTCTATGCTGGTGAATGTGTTTATTGGAGGAAAACAATCTGAAGCTTTATAATTCTATATTTATATTTTTATATTGAGGTGTTTAAAAAAATCGCATAAGGAAAATGCTTAAAAAGGCAATCTAAATCCCCATGTAAGGACTTGGAGGAAACTTGTCGCATGTTTTACATGTTCTTGTGCCTTTTTGCCTTAGTCCATTCAAGCAGCTATGAAAAAAGTGCCATAGACTGAGTGGTTTAAACAACAAAGATTTATTTCTAACCATTCTGGAGGTTGAGAAGTCCAAGTTTAAGGTGCTGGACGATTCGGTATCTGTTGAGAGCTGGCTTCCCGGTTCACAGACGGCTGTTTTGCTGTGTCCTCACTTGGCAGAAGGGGCGGGGGAGCTCTGTGGGATCTTTTTTAAAAGGGCACAGATCCCATTCATGAGGGCTCTGCTATCATGACCTAATCAACTACCAAGCCTGCCCCACTCCAATATCATCACATTGGGGATTAGGAGTTCAACATATGAATTTTGGGTGGACAAAAACCTTCAGTCTATTTGTGAGCATAGTGTAAAAATAATGTCTCATTCCTGTGTTAGAGCCTTCCATTTTCAATTACAGATAAAAACAATTATAGATCATCCAGCTATTCTGCTTATAATCATACTATAAATCTCTCATTGATTCAAATTAAGTAGAACGATTAATAAAGTAGCTTGGTTTGTGAGAGTTAGTGAATTTGTATGAAACAGAAATTACCAATTTCAAAGGATTCACAGAAAATAAAACCTAATTGAACTCAATCACCTTCACCATTATGGAATGAGAAGGTAATATAAAAGTTAACATGCTATAAGAATAATACATATATATTTTTAAATCTGAGATTAATTTTTTTCAGGATCTGGCAGGGTTTCAGAAACATCATTAATGTATCTCAGCAATTACTGTGATGATAAAAAGTAAGAAAGTTATACTCTACACATTAAAAAGTTTAACGATCACAGTTTCTCCATAGCAGCTGTCATTTATTTCCCCTATAAACTAAATGCATTCAATTTTTCTGCAATTTCTGAGGTCTTAACACCTCAGATTCACATTTCTTCTTTAGATGAAACATTTCTACAGATATGATGTCAGGAGATAACTTTTGCTATGTTTCACTTTGAAAAGTAATTTCAAACATAGCCAACATTAAAACTTACCTCTTTTATGTTTAACTGATGAAGTGTCTACTACCTGGTAGATGAATTTTCTCGTAGAATCTATTCTGTAATCAAACACTTTACTTCACATATAATGACTTGGTTCAATGGCCCAACAGCTGAGGTAACGCTAGCAAGGAAGAGGTTAGGAAGCGTCATCGGCAATGCGGGCAAGCCGCACGGCTGGTCCCGGAGGATTTTCTCTCTTTCTTCAGAAAAACTTGTCATTTTTTTTTTTTTTCCCATTTCATGTACAAAACTTGATGGTTAGACTGAGGACTCTTAAGGCTTTGGGGCAACTTTGTTCACCCTCCCAAATATCTATGTTAAAGAAGTGTGCAGCATCTGCAAACAGAATAATCAATCAGACTTAAAACCAGAGGCGGTGATCATTTTAGGGGTTTCCGATATGCATCGGCGTTATGTGAATCATGCAAATTCTTCAGGAAGTAGATGCTGTACAGCATTTACACTGAACAACAAAAAGTCCCCCAATTTTGTTAGACTTCTATGCGTAGGTGATTTTCTTTGCATGATTTACTGGGATTCCTGTTCCACAATGAACTTTAAAATATGAGTCGATTAAAAGAAAACCCATCCCATTGGCAGTGAAAATTTTTTTTGAAAAGTTCATATTGCTGTATCAATCTTCAGTCATATTTTTAAATCTTATTTAATATTTATTAGTTATTTAGTATCTTAGGAAAACTGTTATTTTACCCTTGGAGTCTTCATGTTACCTAATAGTGTAAATGTAGTTGGTGCTGGCTTTAATTCAATTGCTATTTAAAAGTACCTCAGTATGCTACTTAACACATACATACTATTTCTTTCAATATGTCACTTCTAATGGTCCTTCAAAACCGTAATCTATGGTGGCAGTTAATCTGCTGGTTCATTCTTTTTTTTTTTTGTTCTGGATCTTGAATCATCCTTTATTTAATGAGCTGTAGCCTTAGGGCATCTCAGGGGCGGAGGCTGGGCAAGGCACCTGATTCACCTGACTTCTGCCTCTAACACCAGTTGGCAGGAACCATTCACTCAAAAGGGTGTCTGCCACAAGGTATGCAATTATAGGAGTATAAGGAAGACCCCTGATTTTTGTAATTCTCTCTTTTATATGAATACATTTATAATTTTAGTTTTGTGTTGACAGTAAAAAGACAATTTTACTGTGGCAGGACTAACTCATGCTTTCAGCTCCAGATAGCTCAAGGACCAGTGTGGTACTACTTTTAAGATTTTTGACTTGAAATTTAAAAACCTATCAACAATGGAATGTGCTACTGCATGAGATAGTGAGCTCCCTATTTATTAGAAATTTTCAAGCAGAGCTGAACTACTACTTGTTAGGCACATGATGGAAAAATATGTAAATCAGATAACCTCCTACTTATTTTCTAACTCTGTGACTATATCCTTTAGAAATTACTGATTAACATTAAGATTTACCTAGCTCCTTTGACTAAGGCCCATGAAGAACATGACATTCCAAAACCTGCAAAAAAAAAAAAAAAAAAAAGCAGCTGTTTGTTCTGGGTCTGAAAATATGCACCAGTCAAAGTTACCTGGTTAGGACAAAACTTTCCTATTTTCTCTTCATGAGGACAGAACTGTTAATTTTCCTTTAATGTTAACATAATTCTCTTAAACCCCCTCTCTTTTTTTTGTTTTTGCTTGAGAGAACTCAGGGGTGGTTCGTTATACACATGGTTTATTAGATAACTCACTCAGTAATTTTGTTTGCCTCTTTAGTCTACAGTCAAATACTGACTTTCTGTCCTTTTCATGTCTTTCCCATTTGGTAGTCTCCTTTCATGTTTTGCTTACATGCCCCACGTCTCATCTTACCTGAGAGGATTCAGCTTTTGAAGCTTACTTATTGTCAAAGGAACCTATGTACTTAGCATGTCCTTGGTTTTGGTATTGTCTAAGTATTTTGTGGCAGATTGATTACTCATGCTTTCTCCCGTGGAAAGTTCTGGCTATGTGAGTTTACTGATCTTTTTGGATTCTTTACAGCAAGATTGATGTTACCTGTTAAAAATTATTTCTTGGTATAGACAAAAATAAATTGCTCTAAAGTTTGTCAGGATAGAGTTAAGATTTCTGAATTTGGATAAAATTTGTAGTTTTTCTGAATTTGGATAAAATTTGTAGTTTGGATAAAATTTGTAGATTTCTGAATTTGGATAAAATTTGTAGAATTTGAATTTGGATAAAATTATGTTTTCCTTTTTTATCCAAGATATGCCACAGATGCAAAAGGTAAAGATAAGAACTGACACTAGATTTCATGTCATTGGAAATAGTAAATCAGGCCATAATGTCCTTCAAGTGGGACACGACACACATTCTGCAAACCTGCGCAAACCCTTTATTAAAGCAACAATCAAAATACAAGATGGATCATATGATTTTTTTCCTATTATAATATCAACTTAAATAGTAGTAATTTGTTTCCATCTTTAAATTATTTTTTAAAAGTGAACATTTATAGTTCACAAAATCACCAGTTTGACATTTCTGCCCAGATAAATTTTTGTCTTATTTTCTGATTTAAACAAAAGACATCCAGAAGTAGATATACAGCAAACCAAACATAAGCACAAGCATCTCCTTTGACCCTAATTCACTGTAGGCAGCTCAATGGTGTCTGAGACATAAATTTGAAGGCTTTTATTACTGGTTAAAAATTTTGCCAAAATATTCTTAGAACTATTTGCTTTCTATTTTTACATTCCCTAAGAGCTTCAGTTTTGATTGTGGTATTCTAAGTATTAGTCTCCTTAAAAATGACATCTCTAAAGAAACTCAAAGATTATTATCACTCTCATATGATACTTTCTTGTATAATAGACAAACTCAGTCCTTTGGAAAACATAATAAGCAATTCTGTTTTATTCAGTTTTTCCCCCACCACTGATTTGTTTAATCCAAACCCGATTAATCACTGTAGAAAACCCCTAAAAGTCATAAGGACAATAAACTTTATCTACTGAAGGAGTTTGAAATGAATAGCTGTTTATAAAAATGACGAATATCGTGAAGATATCAGGTGCTCAAAATATGTGTGGGAATATACAATGAGACTTGGAAGATATTTGAAGAGTACCAATAAATTAGTTTAAAAAGCAAGAATAGAAACAGGGATAATAATCTTAAGGGATTCGCCAAAAGGGTTTGTGACAATAGGTACAATAGTAGTTGAACTGTGCTGAGTATAAAACAGAGTATATGAAAGATAAGTTAAATGCTCCATTTTCTTACCAAATGTAATACTGAGAGGAAACTCCACTAACAGAACCACACAGGCTGCCAGTTAAGAGTTTCAGCACTGATACCACACTGCTTCAGTCTGCAAGCAAAAGATGTCTGATTTGCCTTTCTGAACCGTTCCTCGGTGGTTGGGATTGCTGTTTCTATAGTTAAGCTGATTTATGTTGGATGTACTACATTGAGAGTGTGCCTGTACAACACATGCAAATATTCTTTGTGCCTCACATTTTCTTCATGTGCTAAAGAAGTGAGCAGATCCTAGATCACCAATAAATAACAATCCAAGCATTAGATTTAAAACATGTTATCAGTCCATTGAATAATTTACATAGCCAGTCTTTCTATCAAGTTGTTTTCTTATCTCACCGCTTGCCCTTAAAGGGAAGCTTAAACAACATAGTTAAAAATGAAGCAAACGGTAAAAAAAAGAAAAAGAGAATTCCAGAATCCATTGTGTAGAATGTCAGGCCTCACGGCCTTAGTTTTGAAAAAAAGGAATGTTCATTAGCATCTGAAACAAATCATTCTGGACATAATGACACAGCACAGTAACACTTGGGATGGGTGAGAACATTCAGATATTTTTAGGGTGAATTCTATATGTTATGTATCACATTTGGTTCCTAGAGATTTTAGTCAAGTATTAGTAATTCTTTTGTTAAGTATGATATACAAAAAGATGAGAATAGATGTGCCCTAAAGATATGAAAATATAATATATTAAACAAAACCATTATAAATTACATAGATTTTCAGTATAAAATTTTTTTCCATTTAGAATAAATACCATCCAAGTTTACAGATCATCTAAGTGAATTAAATATGCACACATGTCTGAATCATTTTCAGAATTTCAAGAAAAAAAATTGCTAGAGATATGAACAGATGACCCAGAAACCAGAAATTGATTTTGAGAATGATGACATAGGAGCCAAAGGACATGGCTTGGGATTTAGTCTTAAGCTTTTAAAACTGTCCAGATGAGTCTGACATGTGTGTACGCACACATGGACACACACACAGGCATACTTCTATAAATTTCTATGTAGCCGAAGAGTTAAATTTATCTTTGAAAATTAGCTGAAAATCATGAGGTCGTCTATATTTCATATTCTAGCAGGAGAGCCTTTCTTATTTCATAAAGTAACTAACTGTAGGATGGATAGGATGAGTGTAGAAATTTCTGGAAGGAGAAATTTCCATTGTAAGCAAATTTCCTTTTAGGTTGGTTATTATTATATCAAGAGCTTTTTGATGTTTTAAAGAGGAGGAAAGCTTTGAAAAATCTGTATCATCTCCCCAGTCTAAAGAAGCTAAAACCAAAATGCAAACATTCTTTGGTCATACATTTTTGCTCCTGCTTCATAAAAAAAAAAAATCTGCCCTTTTTAAACTTTTTACCCTTAATCGATGTCTAGATGGAACAGACGATTTCTTCTCCTATAATTTCTATGTAGAAATCTGCGTGTGGGTTTGGATAGAATGAAAACTGAACAGGATGGGAAAAAGTTCACACGAAATCAGCTTATGTCTCTGTTGTTGTTTTGGGCGTATAGATGCATGGTAAGAATTTGTTGACTTCCATAAGAAGTAGAAAATGTTTATATTTTAAGAGTTGGAGATAAAACTTTTCTGCAACCCAAATACATAAAATCCAAGTCCACAGAGCCCAAACAGGAGTCATGGTTTTTCTTGATTGCTCATTACTAATTTCTTTAAGACACTTCTAATTAGATGCCAACAGTTCCTTCCTGACCAAGAGATGTTGGGTCAAACTCCACATCTTTCAGATTGCCTTCCACACCAGTTATCTATGAATAAAAAAACCTGTCAAGGCCATTTCTAAGCCAAACCCACTACCTTCAGCTATAGAGTCGGGAATATTTGCTGTAAAGTTTGTTCAGCAAAAACCTCCAATCTCATGTACCCTTTTTTGCTCCCTATGTTGCTTGTCTCTGGCAATGGGGGCCTTCACGAGAGACTACAAACTTTACATAAAACTGTAAACGTCTGAGCTAAAAGGGATCTTGTGACCCATCAAGTACAATCCCCATATTTTGCAGATAAAAAAGATTAAACCCCAGAATGGGGAAAGGAGTTGTCCAAGGTCTCACTTATCCAGATAGTGACAGAGTGAAGACTAAACATCTGGGTCTACTCTCTCATTACCATCGTGGCCTATGTAACCTCCAGCCTCACGACCCCATCACTTGATGTGGCCATGACCCTTATGACTACTTTAAGTTTAGTGTCTTCCCTGATCCTAAGTGAAAATGAAATAAAACCACTCATTTTTACTGTGATTAAATCTAAACTGTAGAAGTGGTTCTAATGATTTTAGTGGAAGAGAAGATCCAAAGCTTGCTAAAATGCTATGATTTTTATAAACTTATCCTTTTTATTTGAGTAAGTAATGCAGCATAAAAAAAATGTTTGGTAAATCCAGAGATAACAAAAAATCTTCAAAGTAATTGTGAAAAAGAGCAAGGATGATGATATTGGTTTGGTTCTGTAAGAGAGCGAGACCATGCAAATGGTGCTCAGAGCTCACCTAATCTTCGTCCTCTGACAGATAAGGATACCGAGACTCAGACTTACCCAAAGCCAGGGAGCTGGTATTGGCACAGTCAGGTAAGGTGTTGGCCTTTGGATGACTAGTTTTGTCTTTTGTCCATAACATCATTCTGTCTTGCATATAACTACTTTCTTGTGAGACTAAAAATAATAATTCAATAATTTTGGAATGTGATTTGATGGTATAGTTCCCTATACTATTATCCTAACCTTTCACTCTCCCCTTCAAAAGGACCAATGGGTTAGCCATGCAGTTCTTAAAAGCAAGTGCACAAAAGTGGACCTAGTTACATGACTTTACAGATCTTTATATTTGCTGTCCCAAATCAATTGTTTGAGTCACCTGATGGCATATGGTCCCTGCAAGCCTTTCTGGGAAACCAATATTCTACAACCTACAGGGATTCATCAAATGCCTCTGTCTTTGGAAGCAATAAATTTTCCAGATAAAGAATCAGTCTTTGTTTGGAGGATGATGTTACTTAAATGTAAAAGCAGCAGTTTTCATGGGTAGTAGGGGTATATTCAACCTTTGACAGTCTCTCCCTATACCTTGGTTGAGCTTACCAAAACGCTCTCAGAATTGGATAGGTAAACACATTTTTATTTAGCTATTAAAGTGCTATTCCTGGGCAAAGGTTTTCTCAGTTTCACAATAGCAGCTTCATTGGAAACAAAAAAGCAATGTATGAAAATAGGCCTGGGAAATGACAAAAATAAGGAGCCTAATAACTACTTTGGAACATTACAAATGACCTGTAGATATCAGCCCTGGTACTGGTGACTGATAACAAAGCCTCTGAGGTAAATGTTCTAGGGGAAAATAAGGACAAAGTGGCAAAGAGGACTAAACCAGAAAGAGCAATTAATATTAATTTAACAACAACTACTCCACTATAAAGGAACAGTGAAAGGAATAAAAACTGAGAAGAAAGTGCAACAAACCCATATACGTGCATTTGCTATTGTAGCAGACCTATAATTTCTTAAAGGAAAAGCAATGCAGTGTGCACTGGACAGGGCTCTTAAACTCAGAATTTGTCTTACAGTAGTGTACTCTTTGTCAAAAGGTCATCATCACCAATTAAGGTATTTGGCAGGGGAGCGCCTCTAAAATTCGCATCACATGGACAGACACCTTCTGTCCAATATTATCAATTCTGCACCCTGATGTTTCCCGCATCCTTTTCTATCAGGGAAATCCCAGTCACGAAAATGCACACAGGTGTTTCCCCTTTTAAAATGGCATCACTCCTACCTAAGGGATGAGAGTCTCCTGGTAAGGCTTAGTGGCAAGTGCGTACTACGACTGGACTGCAAGGAGCAGCCCCTGATTTTCTTGATATGCATAGCTTTTCGGAGTTGATATTAGACATGGCTTTCATAAATAATGCAGGTGTTTCTGTCATGTGCCACTGCTGGCTCTGTAGTTTCCAGGTGAGCTGGCGGCAGGACTCTATCTGATACCTCAACAGGCGTGGGCTCTTCAGACGTTAGCTCCGTGGATGTTACATCTGTAGAAGGCTCTGCCGTTTCTAGGGAACGTTCAGCTGATGGTTCTGTCTCCTCTTCATCTTTGACTTCAAACTGTCCCTCCTCTTGGTCATCTGCATGATCTTTTTTGGACTGTGGATGAACAGACACCTTGATGGCAATCTGCTGAGGCTGTTCGTGCAGCGACGAGGCATCTGAGTCGGCGGTGGGGGAGTCGCTTCGCTTCAGGGAGTTGGGGATCGTGTACACCTCGTCCCTGTCTGTGGCCTCCTGGCCTTCTGGAGTGTGCCGCACAAAGTTCTGCCCCTGTTCCTCCAGCCCAACCACTTCCATGATCTCCTCCATGATAGTTCTGCAGTTCATAATGAGAGGAGGCAGAGGCACACTCCTGGCAAGCTCTTCAATGTAGCGGGCGAACTCCATGGTTTTGAACTGGGTCACTTTGGCGAGCTCTAGAGTTTTGGCTGAGGTGATGATGGGGATCCGCTTGGCGATCTCAAATGCCTTTTGCAGCTTCTCTGCGCCTTCTGTCCTAAAGAACTCGTTGATAGCTTTCTCAGTCTTCTTCAGGTGGCTGCTCATCATGCACAGGCGGGTGATGTTGAGGACCATGACAACGGTGAAGGCCACTAGGCAGACGACCATGTAGTAGACACCCATGTCTCCAGAGGTGAAGATGACTCTCAAGGTCACTGTGTTGTTCACAGTGCCATAGATATTGGAAGCAACACACGTGTATTTACCTCGGTCTGAAAAAGACACCTTGGTGATGTTCAGGAGGCCGCTCTCGTGCATCTGCCATTTTCCTGTTAGAAGAGAGAAGAGAAAAAAATTCAAAAAAGGACATACAGTTCCCACTGAAGTGACTACACACTCCCATGCTACTAAAAACATCTGCTACTACTAATGACCACAACAGTGAACATTTACTATGTACCAGACAGCGACTGGTATGAACTCATTTAATCTTCACAACAACTCTGTAGGGTAGGTATTAATACTAGCCCCACTTTATAGCATGAGAAAACTGAGGCACAGTTAGATTAAACCACCTTCCCAAGGGCACCAGTTTGGAAGCAGACGAGCTAGAAGATGAACTCAAGTTCAAGAGGCTATACTCTTAATCACCGAACCATACTGTATAATTCCACATCCTGGTGAAAAATAAGAAAAGTAAACGATCTGGAAAATACTGTGTTCTTACTAGAGAATTCCTTAACTGTAGCATCTGATTTTCTAACCTCCTCCTCCCTCTCCCTCCCTC